TCTGAGCTTGTTTGACGCGGGGTTTGACCTTCGCGTCTGAGCTTGTTTGACGCGGGGTTTGACCTTCGCGTCTGAGCTTGTTTGACGCGGGGTTTGACCTTCGCGTCTGAGCTTGTTTGACGCGGGGTTTGACCTTCGCGTCTGAGCTTGTTTGACGCGGGGTTTGACCTTCGCGTCTGAGCTTGTTTGACGCGGGGTTTGACCTTCGCGTCTGAGCTTGTTTGACGCGGGGTTTGACCTTCGCGTCTGAGCTTGTTTGACGCGGGGTTTGACCTTCGCGTCTGAGCTTGTTTGACGCGGGGTTTGACCTTCGCGTCTGAGCTTGTTTGACGCGGGGTTTGACCTTCGCGTCTGAGCTTGTTTGACGCGGGGTTTGACCTTCGCGTCTGAGCTTGTTTGACGCGGGGTTTGACCTTCGCGTCTGAGCTTGTTTGACGCGGGGTTTGACCTTCGCGTCTGAGCTTGTTTGACGCGGGGTTTGACCTTCGCGTCTGAGCTTGTTTGACGCGGGGTTTGACCTTCGCGTCTGAGCTTGTTTGACGCGGGGTTTGACCTTCGCGTCTGAGCTTGTTTGACGCGGGGTTTGACCTTCGCGTCTGAGCTTGTTTGACGCGGGGTTTGACCTTCGCGTCTGAGCTTGTTTGACGCGGGGTTTGACCTTCGCGTCTGAGCTTGTTTGACGCGGGGTTTGACCTTCGCGTCTGAGCTTGTTTGACGCGGGGTTTGACCTTCGCGTCTGAGCTTGTTTGACGCGGGGTTTGACCTTCGCGTCTGAGCTTGTTTGACGCGGGGTTTGACCTTCGCGTCTGAGCTTGTTTGACGCGGGGTTTGACCTTCGCGTCTGAGCTTGTTTGACGCGGGGTTTGACCTTCGCGTCTGAGCTTGTTTGACGCGGGGTTTGACCTTCGCGTCTGAGCTTGTTTGACGCGGGGTTTGACCTTCGCGTCTGAGCTTGTTTGACGCGGGGTTTGACCTTCGCGTCTGAGCTTGTTTGACGCGGGGTTTGACCTTCGCGTCTGAGCTTGTTTGACGCGGGGTTTGACCTTCGCGTCTGAGCTTGTTTGACGCGGGGTTTGACCTTCGCGTCTGAGCTTGTTTGACGCGGGGTTTGACCTTCGCGTCTGAGCTTGTTTGACGCGGGGTTTGACCTTCGCGTCTGAGCTTGTTTGACGCGGGGTTTGACCTTCGCGTCTGAGCTTGTTTGACGCGGGGTTTGACCTTCGCGTCTGAGCTTGTTTGACGCGGGGTTTGACCTTCGCGTCTGAGCTTGTTTGACGCGGGGTTTGACCTTCGCGTCTGAGCTTGTTTGACGCGGGGTTTGACCTTCGCGTCTGAGCTTGTTTGACGCGGGGTTTGACCTTCGCGTCTGAGCTTGTTTGACGCGGGGTTTGACCTTCGCGTCTGAGCTTGTTTGACGCGGGGTTTGACCTTCGCGTCTGAGCTTGTTTGACGCGGGGTTTGACCTTCGCGTCTGAGCTTGTTTGACGCGGGGTTTGACCTTCGCGTCTGAGCTTGTTTGACGCGGGGTTTGACCTTCGCGTCTGAGCTTGTTTGACGCGGGGTTTGACCTTCGCGTCTGAGCTTGTTTGACGCGGGGTTTGACCTTCGCGTCTGAGCTTGTTTGACGCGGGGTTTGACCTTCGCGTCTGAGCTTGTTTGACGCGGGGTTTGACCTTCGCGTCTGAGCTTGTTTGACGCGGGGTTTGACCTTCGCGTCTGAGCTTGTTTGACGCGGGGTTTGACCTTCGCGTCTGAGCTTGTTTGACGCGGGGTTTGACCTTCGCGTCTGAGCTTGTTTGACGCGGGGTTTGACCTTCGCGTCTGAGCTTGTTTGACGCGGGGTTTGACCTTCGCGTCTGAGCTTGTTTGACGCGGGGTTTGACCTTCGCGTCTGAGCTTGTTTGACGCGGGGTTTGACCTTCGCGTCTGAGCTTGTTTGACGCGGGGTTTGACCTTCGCGTCTGAGCTTGTTTGACGCGGGGTTTGACCTTCGCGTCTGAGCTTGTTTGACGCGGGGTTTGACCTTCGCGTCTGAGCTTGTTTGACGCGGGGTTTGACCTTCGCGTCTGAGCTTGTTTGACGCGGGGTTTGACCTTCGCGTCTGAGCTTGTTTGACGCGGGGTTTGACCTTCGCGTCTGAGCTTGTTTGACGCGGGGTTTGACCTTCGCGTCTGAGCTTGTTTGACGCGGGGTTTGACCTTCGCGTCTGAGCTTGTTTGACGCGGGGTTTGACCTTCGCGTCTGAGCTTGTTTGACGCGGGGTTTGACCTTCGCGTCTGAGCTTGTTTGACGCGGGGTTTGACCTTCGCGTCTGAGCTTGTTTGACGCGGGGTTTGACCTTCGCGTCTGAGCTTGTTTGACGCGGGGTTTGACCTTCGCGTCTGAGCTTGTTTGACGCGGGGTTTGACCTTCGCGTCTGAGCTTGTTTGACGCGGGGTTTGACCTTCGCGTCTGAGCTTGTTTGACGCGGGGTTTGACCTTCGCGTCTGAGCTTGTTTGACGCGGGGTTTGACCTTCGCGTCTGAGCTTGTTTGACGCGGGGTTTGACCTTCGCGTCTGAGCTTGTTTGACGCGGGGTTTGACCTTCGCGTCTGAGCTTGTTTGACGCGGGGTTTGACCTTCGCGTCTGAGCTTGTTTGACGCGGGGTTTGACCTTCGCGTCTGAGCTTGTTTGACGCGGGGTTTGACCTTCGCGTCTGAGCTTGTTTGACGCGGGGTTTGACCTTCGCGTCTGAGCTTGTTTGACGCGGGGTTTGACCTTCGCGTCTGAGCTTGTTTGACGCGGGGTTTGACCTTCGCGTCTGAGCTTGTTTGACGCGGGGTTTGACCTTCACGTCTGAGCTTTGATTTTGAGTTGTCTAAATCTTTTCCTCTTTTTGCAGTGCGTCATACTAGCGAGCCTCTTCTTTTTCGCCACCATTTTGGACATGAAGGTGGTGCAGGCATGAACATAACCTTCAGCTCGCGTTTAGAACTCCCAGTTTTTCGGATGAGGGAGAAGAGTCGCGTGGAACTGATCACCCAAGCTTCTCATGACACTCTTAGGACATTGGTTTCGGACGCTCGACTTGAAAGCCCAAGCCGTAGGCCAATAGTCAAACCTGGATACCTCTTCGGGGACTTTGTTGACTTCGACGCAAGCACTGCGTATGATGGGGATTATAAGTGGCTGCGGAAAGTTGAGGACCGCAACCTTTTCTTGCCCAATATGGAGAGGATGTTTCCTATATCTTATTTCCAATGTGCTTCTGTCCCGAGGTGTATGGATTGGCCCCTAGTTAAGGATCAAGATGGGGTTGCTCTCAGAACTCTGACTTTCTATGGGGTCCACACCGTTGGTTATAATCGGCAGGTGACAGTTTTACGGCCGAGTTTATTTGCTAAGGAGTATCCCCTTGGCGAAGTACCCAGTCCGGCAAAGACCTTCGTTAAGAGGTTCTTGGAAAAGAAAGGAGAGTTTCCCGCGTAAGGATTTAGAACTCCTGGCTGGGTTCATTCTCCGACGACGGGATGGTGGGCCCAGATGACCAAGTTTGTTCTGAAAGAGTTGGAAGCCCCTCTTGCCCAAGCCGGATTGCTGGTTCCTGTGCGGGCTACTGAGTTCGGGATTATCCAGAGTCACTTTCACTTCTTCTCCATACTGGAGAAGTATAATCCTGATAGTGCACTTTCTTCACCCCTGTGGGGGAGCTAGGCTTCGCCCTTCACGAGATGCACGAAGTCTCGGGTCTTGTCCTCGGGGATTTGCCGTATGAAGATTTCGTTCCGGGATCGGCGGAACTCCAGATTTTAAAGAAGACCAGTCCGGAAATTTATGCCACTCTTTGGGAAGTCATGTGTCACTTCCACATATGAATGCAGCTGACGGGGGCCCGTGGAGGTGGCATTAAGCAAGTGTCTTGGGCGGAATATTTATTCCATAACTTGACCACTAAAGGGGCCTCGGTGACCCGATTGCCCGTCAGTACTTTGGAAGAGGTTCAGGCTCGTATTGACGACGCTACCTCCCATTACACTAACGAGGCCAAGGAAGATGTTTTCCCGGCTCACACAGAGTTTGAGAGCTTTCATTATCAAGCTCTGATTCCAATTTCCGACGCGGCATTGCTAGCTGGATTCTTGATGCTGTGGCTCAAACGTTGCGTCGTTCCTACCAGGCCGATCGATGCCCTTGCTATTGAGGTGGTCTACCCGGCTGTTCTCTTGGCACACGGGAGACCTGTGAGCCTCCTCAGCGCCATGGTGGGTTGCTTACAGTATGGACTGCGGGAGTTGGCCTCTG